CGTGGCGTTGCACGTGCGCTCTGCTCTGCTCTGCCAGCCAAGTGCCACTTGCCCACAATTGTTAGCATGAATTTTCTTCACACTGTGCAAGGGGTAAGAGATAACCTGCTGCTAGTCGCGACGCGTTTACAGTTGCAGTTACAGTTACAATTACAATTACAGTTACAGCCTTGAAACAATGCAAGACAGCGGCGGGTATGACGACAAACCCATTGAGGCACTCGACCAATTTCGTTGCTGTTGTTGTTGTTTGCCAGAAGTGAAAGTGAGCGCCCGGCTCTGTCCTCAGGTTTGCTTGTTGTTGGTACAGTTTTGGGCCACGTTTGCACGAAATTAAGTTAAGCAATTAAGTTGCTTGGGGCTGGGGTTGAGGTTGGGGCTGGAGGCCTGCTTGGGCATATTTCATAGCCTGACTCTGGGCGTCGCCTAAATTATGCATGCACAAGCCAAGCAGCAAGCAGCAAGCCTGTCACGTGGTTAAAGCTACTAAACGACTTTAGTCAACGTCGACGACGGCGTCGACGCCACATGCTAACATTTTGACAGCTGCGCGGCCGCGGCGGTTGAGTCCCCGAGTCCCGCAAGTCCAAGTTCGAGTAGGAGAATTTGAGTTGGAGTTTGAGTGAGTTTTAAACAATTTGTAATGCAACGAACTTCTGCTGATTAATTTCTATGCGGCTTGTATTCGATTTGTTATGTTTTCTTTGGATCTCTTCTTGGGCTATAAAAACTAAAATTTATTTGGCTACGCGCCACAAAGCACAGAGCACATTGCACCCACACAAAAAATCTCTTCTCCACGCGGTACGCGGTACGCTCTCACTCAAAACTCTCACACTCACACACACCCACACAGCGACACAGACACAGATGTTTGTTCATGTGCACACGCACACACACCTAGGGGAAAGCGTAACGTAGGACGCGATTTTGGCGTATGTCCTGATGCCGTAATTTTCTATGCACAAACACGCGGTATTCTGCTGGACTCTCGACTCTTGTTCGATTCCCTCGATTGGGCTACAGTCTGGGGCTGTTAATGGGCCAGATTTCACACATTTAAGGCGCGATTTGGTAATTATTTGGATTTATTTTGATGCCACACAGCGTGGAGTGTGCAAACCGTGTTGATTTGTTCGCACCTTGGCCATTCGCTACTGAATCCAACACACACACGCTGAGAGTTCACCACACTTGCCTGGCCTGTCACGAGAGCGGGAGAGAGTAGCTTGCTGGCTGGCAGGCCCATTGCAGGCCAGGACAATCACTCGCTGCTTTTGCACTCACTCTCTCGCTCTCTCACTGTCTCTCCCTGTCTTTGGAGCGCTGTGTGTGGTGTGTTTTGAATTTTTTTTGGGTAGAGCTTGCGCACAGCTGTTCAGGGAATGGCGGCATTTCAAATAGTTAGCGGTGAAAGTGAGAAAACAGCTGCAAAACATAAACTTAAACTTGGATTAATTACATGATTTTAGTAGTTCCAAGAGCTTTATTAGCTTATTAGCTAAGATTATTTTATTATATTATTTTTTAAAGCATATTTTCCTGCGGCCTGCTGACGTAGCCACCTGCCTTAACTCACTCAAGACCAAAACTTGCGCAAGCTCTCGCTCTCTTGCCAGTAACACTCACTCTGTCACTCTCTCTCTGTCGCTCTCTTTCTGTTACGCTCAGCTGTCATCTGTGGCATGTGTGTGTGGTAGTGGGTGGTCGGTCGCCCGCTCTGCATGGAAATCTGTTGCATGAGCGCAATTTGTTATCCTCTTTATCTCAGCTGAGTGTCGTCCAAGTGTCAGTAGTGCTTCTCGCTACATAAATTACTCCATGGCATCTTGAGCAATACCGTTACAGCAACAGCAATAAAATTGAGCATATAAAAACAATAAAATGCCATTGCCGGCAAAAGCAGCTGGAAGGAAGGCAGCGCCGCCCATCAGGCAAATCCCCACAAAAAGTAAAACTGCGAGTACCCACAATAATAACAATCTAGCTGGAAAGTAAAGGAGGGGACGAGGAGCAAGACAAACCACACACAATTTAAAGATGAAGACAGACCAGACCTGGTGTGAGTAAAAGAGCGAGCAAGATTTGTGGGAAGAGAGAGAGAGAGAGAGAGAGAGCTAGTGGATTTGTGGATTTACTTGACAAGACTGTTGCTCCGCTAGTAATCGGCATCGAAGTTGTTTTGCTGCTTCTTGTTCTATCTCTGTTGTTTGGGTTATTGTTTGGGCTCTGATTTTTATGAACTTTCTCTGACACCCACCCACCCACACTTTTTCCAACTTCATAGAGTTGGGGAAAAAAAGTGAAAGTGTCATTTTAAGTCAAGTGGACCAGGAAAGGCATTTCTAGTCTCTGTTTACAGACAAGAGTAAATGTTGCCAAATTGTTCTGTCAGTTAAAACCAGGAACTCAAATTTACAGTTTCTAGGAAAACCTCCTAAACGCAACATCAAACACATACCCTCAGGGAGGGGGAGGGAGATATTGAGGTAGGCCAATCGCAAGTCTAAGCCGAGGTGCCCTAAACGCCGCCCCCAAGAGCAAGGCCACAGGCCAAAAATAAGTCCCAGTAACACCGAAGATCTTGCTTACCCTGGTAGATGTGATGATCATTTTCCGTAAGCTTTTCTATTCCAAAATAAAGTAACTCTAATTTGTCACAAGGCAAATACCAATAAATAATTGTATTAGGTTTGAAATTTGTTGAGAAAATTATAAGCCGGCTCATCCAAGAATTTTAATTTATTAATCTGCGAGTAAAGTCTGTATAATTTTGTTGGTCCCGTTCCAGTATGTTCCATGCTGTCCAAATAAACGGTGCATCCGTTCAGCATAGAGCGGCGGGAGCGACACTGCGGGGGGGCGTACTGCGTACGTCATGGCGGCCATGACCATTGAAGCGCACAACTAATTGAATTTCTCAAGCTGTTTCATTGACCGAATCGATTGAATCGAAACCAATTTGGCCATATGCACCCAACTGTTCGCCCCACTTGGCCTACATCAACGCCATCAAATCGAACCCCACACAGGCACCACAGGATACTGGTATCCTGGGTACTGGGTACTGCCTTTTTTTTTGCTTAGCAAGTTTACTCCATTATTCCAGTAGACACCTGCAGGTAGTCAGTCAGTACCCGTACCCATACCCAGCTGAAAGCTTCATTAGGATGCATATTTCATATATTTTCTGGGCAAATTCCTTCCACTGATGCTGATGCTGATGCCTGCATACTCGTACCTGATGGAAACTGCAATCAATTTGGTTGCTATACCTTTTGCTTTGCCTCCCATCGAACGCAGCAACACACAGAGCTGTGACTTGTTGTGGGTTTGCTGCACCTCATGGCGCTTCGATGGGTTGGAGTGCAAAGCAATATATACTGGGTGGGGATTTTTAATAACTTTTCATAAACATTAGCTGGAATATTTACAACAAATATTTGAAAAATGAGCTACAGGCCCCCTGCCAACTTATCTTCCAATCAAATCGATTTTGGTTGCTATTAAAACATAAAACGAAAATTTCGCTTTTAGTTTCATTTTGGCACTCGAAAGTTATCTTTCAACCCTCAATCAGAACGGAATAGTTTCGGCCTATTGCCAAAACCCTTTCAACCTTCTGCCTTGCCCAAAAAAAAAAAACAAAACGAAAAGGGGAACCCAACCAAATGCCGTCAAAGTCAAAATTAACCCAGAATAAAAGTGAACATGCTGAACAACAACAACAACAACAGCAAAAAGTATTTGCCAATTAGGGAGCGATAAGGAAAAGAGTGCAAGCAATTTGTGTGTTTGCTCAAACGAGACGTCAAGTGTTACGCGCAGGTACAGCGGGGCGGAGAGGCGGAACTGGTACTGGGATTGCAACAATCGAATTAATTGGCAGCTGCCCTGCCCTGCCCTTACCCGTATCGAACAATCAATGGCAAATGTAATTTCCAATATCATTAGGCTGTGGCCCAACCAATTTCTGCTGCTGTGAAACGGAGGGAACCTCTCTCCCCCCTTTTATTCTATTTTTTTTTTTTCGTAATCGCTTTGTCATATAAATGAACCGAGTTTTGCTTTCCAGCTACAGCTGAAGCTGCAGCTCCAGCCAGTGCCAGTCGGCTGGCTGGCTGTATTTTCTACAACTTTGTCAACGTTTTTGCCACGGGGCTAAAGTAAACTCAATTAACTTTTTGCCATTGCTGCTGCAACAATAAACAATTTTTTCCACCTTTTCGCCTGGGCTTGGGCAAGAATCGCAATTAAGGAAGATAACAGTCAAGTGCAGCAGCTCCCACTCCTTACAAACATACATACATACATACATACATATATCCAGATAGCCCCATCCCTATCCGTATGTATGTATAAATTGCTTAGAAAATGTAAAGTGTAAAGCAAAATGGTTTGTGTATTTGTCATGGCGGTCTGTGGCCTCAGCCTCAGTCTCAGTCTCAGCTTCAGCCTCAGTCTCGGCTCCAGTCAGGGCACGAGCTGGCCGACATTAACCAAGATTTGTTGGCGCTTTAGCGAGGCGTTTTGTCAGGGGCTCTTGCTGCTGATGCTGCTGCTTCTTTTAATTAAAAAAGTTCTAGCTGGATGCAATTAGCGGGGTGGAACAGAACGGCGTCTTCTCCTGAGTTATGAGAACTGTGTGAGGTTTAAGTAAATGCTTATAGGAATTTAATAGATTCCCTCGGTGTGGATATTTTTAATATTAACAATATTTTGCATCCACAAAAGTCAGCTGATCTGGATGAATTCTTAATTTTGGAGACTTGATATGAATTAATGCATCTGCATGGTTTTCAATTATTATTATTATTATTGGAGAGGTCGGAAAACAAAGGCTTCAAAAGCATACTTTGCAGAGGATTCCGAAATTTTGTTCACATCGTTGCATTAAATGTCTCGGTTTACCGATGGAAGTGGGAAATTTATCAAATGGATTTTTCATAAACAGAAAACTACAGAAGGACCTACAAAGCAAATGTAAAAATTAATGCACAACAGAAAATAAGAAACTGATTTTTATAGACGATTTTTGAGTCGTTTATTTTCGTGACTTCGCAGACCATATACCAATCATGTTCGTGACCCGCAGCGCACGTTTCAATTTTCTAGGAGAGTACTGGAATGCCTGTGCCGGCGATGACGTGCAAGCTCGGGAATTGGTCTGCGAGGCCGCCACTGTCTGGCAGGCTCTTAGTCCGGCGGAGAAGTTGCTGTTCGAGGAGGTTAGTCAAGAGCTGCCCTTTGTTGGGTCCATCTCATCATCTTTCATGCCCACAGGACAAGTATTTGAGGGCTCGTTTCGCCGAAGCAGGCAGCTCAGCTGACCGAGAGCGTGCAGGAAATGGTCGGCAAATCCAAGAACAGGCGACTACAGACTACAGCCAAGCCGAAGTTCAAGGCAGCAAAAAGTGTCCCCTAATGATCCGATTGATCTATTCTCTGAGCGTGGTCAACCTTAAGTTTTTCTCTTCTGAAATTAAGGCTTAGTTATTGTTTCAGATTTAGCTACATTCGAAATTATTTTGCACAGTTTAAGGCATGAGACAACGAAAATGGATACAAAATATTCAAATTCCTCGAACTCTGAGGGTGTTCAGTTGAGTTGAGTTCAGTTCTTTGCTGCTCGTTCTCTTTGTTTTAGTATGTAAAAAAGGGATAAATGACATCAAGGATAATACGCACTAACACACCCACTCAGACAGGTAAGAGCACACCCACTCAGCGATACAGTGTTGTGTGTCCCTTAAAATATGCAAAGCAAAAGGAGAGCCACCCATAAGACAGTGCACACTGCAGTGTAGAGACAGGCAGTAGAGCAGTGTATCTGAGTATCTGAGTCGAGCTGAGATACATCCAACATGCAGCAGTCTAGAGCCTGGAGAGCCAGGCACACAGGCACCTATGCATAAATAATGAAAAAACACACATACAGATGTAAGCAACGTGTGCATGTATGCATGTACATGTGAGTGTTTGCTGTTGACGGGTCTCACATGTTAAAAGCGTCAGTATAATAGCCAAAGTAATGGCAAAAGTGCAATTGTGAGTTCAAGTAAATAAAAACTATTCAAATATGCAAAACACAATGCAAAATGAAGAGCTGCACAGCATTTCCCTAAGCCCAACGGGGGGAGCCCAGTGCCCGCTCGTGTATCTCAAGTGCATAAATTTGCTTGTTAAATCCTGATTGATACGCCAGCCTGGGATGGTCGTCGTCGTCCCCGTACCCGTCCTCGTTCCGCTGAGTGTTCCTTTCAACAGCAATAGATGGAAATGGGTATGGAGATGGCGAGCGCAAAAGAGGAAAAAATACAAACAAAAAAAACTATCCACATATTGCCATCATATTTTACACAAAGCGGAAGTCGAGTGTCGCACTGCACGAAACTTGTTGTCCTTTGGGGCTGTTGCAGCAGCAGCAGCAATAGCAGCGCACCCCAGGCGGGTGGGGGCGGGTATATCGAAGTTCGCTTATGAAGTTTAAGTTGTAAATTATCGCCAAGAGAGCTGTGCAGTTTATTTGTTGCTTCAATTGATCGGTTATCGCTCTTTAAAATTATAAAAGAAACTTTATTTTTTTTTTAGGCAATTTTCTTTCTTGGCTACAATAAAATCTAAGAAAACTGTTGGCTTTCATATGTATTTATTATTCTTAAATAAAAATTCAGACAAGTGTTTATCCAATTGATGGACTCTCTTTAGAAAATGTCGCCCTCAAAGCTGTCAATGGGGGGACATGCGGTCAATTCCGCGTCACCAAAATGCTGCTCTCCACCACGGACAGGACAGTCAGCGCAGATAGCGTGAAAAAACAAGGCAACAAAGACGTGTCCAGGTGGAAATTGATTAATTTTTGCAGCGCTTTTGAAGTGTCTGACAAAGCAACGAGGAAATTGAAACAGAAACTCTGAGGCTGAGGATGTTGCTGTTGCTGGTGATGCACACAACGCGAAGCGTTGGAAAATGTTGTCACAATGGCATGGTGGAAATTCTGGATAGGTTTGTTAGTCGCTCGATGCTCAAAGCAGCTTATTGGCCCGAACAGCAGCGCCTACAAGCATCAAAGACACCGTTGACAGCCCTGGCAAGGATGACGCCCGCCAGTGCAGCCCCAAAGAAAGATTATGGCAAAAAAAAAAAAACTAAATGAAGAAAAAAAAAAAAAAACTCTGGCACACACTAGAGAAATGGCAAAAACATGAAAATGGAAATGGAAAAGGGGGAAAAGTGCGAATGGGCCCACTAACGATGCTGCTCTCTTGTTGTTGCCATTGTCAGTTGCGGGTGGGGTGGTGAGGTGTGTGTGTGTGAGGCACGATGGAATGATTATAAAGCAACATCGATGAGGGGCTTGGTACATCATCTATGCATGCATCCATGTGCGTATATGCTTTTGGTTTTTTTTTTTGTTTTTTTGTTGCTTTTGTGTGTGTGTTGGCAGTTGTAGGCACTTTGCGGATGCTCGTGAATTGAACGTTTATTGACACACAAAAGCTGGAAAATTGAAAAATTCTGCAGAACCAACGATTCCCCCACATGCCCGTGTTTACGACCAGCAGCACCAACCAACCCAACCACACACATCTCATCCCTTTTCATTTTATATATACCCTAAAAGAAGGGTGTTATAAATATTTCTAGATACCTTTACAAGATGTTGTGCTGTAGGAGCAATCAAGGAATGAAGGCAACTACATTTATCTATAGATTTTACTTTATATATATTTTTTCTCTATAAAGTTCTGCAAATGGAATAATTAATAGTCCTAAAAGCCTCTACATAATCTGGGCCCTAATCCAAATATATATCCAATGTGTTGCTGCTTTCAAAAGTACTCGTTCTAGAGAGGTTGAATCTGCCAAGAGTATTCAACATTTCGCTTTGGCCAGGCAGCCATACCTCCTTCCTTGTTGATTTTAATGGACGCCACACCTTTCAGGATTGTCATTGTTGGTGTTCCTCCTTTCTGGCAATTTCCCCAGCGGCGGCATCCTGACAACGCCGCTCATCGAGGGCACCAGCTCAAAGGACCGCTTTGTGCGGCGCCGTGCGACCGTGTATTAGTGCCTTCCCCATTCAATAGTTTGCCAGGGGACTCGCAATACTCGCATACACACATACATTCGGTTTTTTTTTATGTGTTATTGCATATTTCTGCGTTATAATGCAGACACTGCCTGTGGCACGACCCCCGACCAACGTCCCTTATTATTGCCCGCTCAACCATAATGGGTTAATGGCAAATTGAAACCCGATTGAAAAGCGCCTCCAGACACGCGTTCCTTCATCCCATCGCAGCCTTCACCCGCTGTCGATCCATATGAAATTCGTAATTGAATTAAATTTAATGGCATATTTCGAATAGCTTCTGCGGTGGGCGTGGCACACATGTGTGTGTGCAACATTTCCAGCATCTTCTGTTTGCTTCTTTTTTTGTATTTGTATGTCTGGTTTTGTTAATTTGCTGAAAGTGCGTGCAGGTCGTCGCAAGTGCCGTAAAGTGTGAGCAAATTCAATTTTATTTTAGATTCGCATATTTCTCTTTGTGCAGCATTGGCTTCCATCAGTTCAATGGGCAGCATGAAAGGGAAGTACATATAAGCGAAGCCAGTTCAGGGCTTATGGGCTAAAAACATAATCTTTCAAGCCAAGAAAGAAAGATAGGGAAACGGCAGTAGACGCAACGAAACCAAAGAACTGCAGCAACAGATTCAAATATTTCTGGCCAGAAAAGGGAAGTTGTTTATGGCGTCGTGAACCTTGACACAAAATAATTTGATATCAATTTCTGTGGCTAATATAAGCAGCAACAGAATTAATTTTCAAGTCAATGAAAATAAATTTCTTAGGATAAGCAGCAACAGAACAATTTGTATCGGTGTTTTTTAGTAAACAGGCCTTGAAACTGAATTTAATTCACTTATCAGTGTAACTGCCAACACTTCCAAAGAGTGTTGGACAATGTGCCAAAGTGGGAAACGTTTTCAAACTCTTTTGGGTGGCATTTTTAGCACATTATTTTATGCATTTTCATTGCCAATAGTAAAGTGACAGTCGAGAGAAGCTCATAATTCAATGGAAAATTCATCGAAGTCAATGCGTTCCAAGGGAGAAGAGCAGCAGAAGCGTCCGCCAGCCGCACCGTTGCTGCCACTACGCGGTGGCAGGGGCGATTTAAATGTAAAGGTAAAAATAAGCTGGAACCCAAACCAAATATCAAGAAAGTTGCCACTAAAATGGATTCAAACTCTAGAAATGCTTGATGCTTTTTTTATTTGCAGAGCTCGGAGCTGCCTGCAGGTGTCTGCATACCAAATAAATATGGCAAGAATGTACCACAAGCCTTAACAGATGGGCTGATAAAGCAGTTCACAATTCAAAAATTGACAGCCACCATGGCTCGCTCCGGGGTTACCAAAAGACCAGAGAAGACGCAGAAATTCACGTTTAAGGAATTTCGAACAATAATGGCAAGTGACAAGAACCATTTTGCAATGCACACAACCCATTCGGAACCCCAAATCCACGATGCTCTGGCCACGGAGCAGCAGGAGCTACGGGATGAGCAGGCTGACTATGAGGAGAATCGGGTGGGCGAGGCCTTTGTTGTGCACCAGGGCACCAGCAAGCTGCAGCTTTGCGAGCCACATTCGGCCATGGCAATGGTGGAGAAGGCGAATCTCTCAGCGGTGGCACTGCCCGACATTAGCTACGATCTGAAAATGCCCGGACTCGTGCCGCACTGCCTGAGTACCCAGCAACTGGAGGCCGTGGTCTATGCCTGCCAGACCCATCAGCGGATTCTGCCCTGGGGCGAGCGGGCTGGCTTCCTGCTGGGCGATGGACCTGGCGTGGGTAAGGGTCGGACCATTGCCGGCATTATTTATAGCAATTTTCTGCTGGGCCGCAAGCGTGCTCTTTGGATCTCCATCTCGAATATTCTCAAGTCGGATGTGGAGCGCGATCTGAAGGACATTGGCGGCAGTGAGCAGATCAACGTGGTGGTGCTGGACACACTGAATTACTGGCGCATAAGCTCCGAGGAGAATGATCAATTCAAAACGGGCATCGTCTTCTGCACGTACACCTCGCTGATGGATGTGTTGGAGACGGCCGATGCCAAGTACGATAAGCGTTTCCATCAGGTGTGCAGCTGGCTGGGCAAGACCTTTGACGGCGTCATCGTCTTCGATGAGTGCGACAATGCCCGGCACCTCAGTCGGGACAATGTCACTGTGCTGCTGAAGCTGCAGAAGCAGCTGCCCAATGCCCGGGTTGTCTACGTCTCGGCCACGGAGCCCAACGATCCGAAAACTATGGCATTTATGCCGCGTCTGGGCCTGTGGGGCGCCGGCACTGCCTATCCGAAATTCGAGAATTTTACCAGCGAGATGCAACATCGAAGTCCAGTCAGCATGAAGCTGTTGTGCATGGACATGAAGCTGCGTGGCAGCTACATGGCCCGCCAGCTGAGCTTCAAGAATGTCACCGTTCGCATCGATGAGGTGGTCACGACGAGGAAATTCTTCAAGATTTACGAGCGTGCAGCCAAACTGTGGGCTGAGATGAACCGGAAGTGGCAGGCCGCCTGCCGCTTCCTGCGCCTGGACGTCTACACGCAGCAGATGATCTCGGACGAGTTCTGGTCCGCGCATCAGCAGTTCTTCAGACACTTGTGCCTCGCCGGCAAGGTGGAAAATGCTCTGCAACTGGCTCGTGACGCTCTCGACCAAGGCAAGGCGGTGGTCATCAGCCTGCAATCGACGGAAGAGTCCTGGACGCTCGAACACTTAAAGGAGCACAAGGGCCAGCTCAAGGAGCCGGTGTCCAACCTGAAGTTGATTATGAAACTGTTTGTGGAGAAACACTTTCCGGCGCCCAAGCTCGCGGATTTGAATCGTCTGATGAGCATGGCTGGCAACAATCCCATCTACCGAGCAACGCAAGCCAAGAGGCCGCGGCACGACCGGCTCGGTGACGATGAGGACTGGGCTGAGCCCGATGAGGCCGATGAGAAGTACATGAAAAAGTCCGAAACTGGTAAGCACATTTGATTGGGTTTAAGCAGCAGCCTTTGACAAGCTTCCATCGTAGATAAAAACATGCCGGAGCGCATCCTGAAGCACTTGCACGACTATCTGCGGCTCAAGCAAAACAAAGATGAAGAATCTGCCGACGACATCACCGATCACGATGTGGCTGCTTGTGTCTACATGCGCTACCAGCTGCTGACCAAAATAGATTATTTGGGTCGCCATCTGCCCGCCAGTACGATGGACAAGCTCAAGGCGAAACTGGGCGGCCACCGAAAGGTGGCGGAGATAACCACAAGGCTGGGCGGAATGGTGTGCATTAAGCAGGCCTACAAGTACATGCCGCGCTGCAAGGGCGAGGAGCTGCTCGGCCAGGTGAACGAGACGGAGCGGCAATGCTTTATGGCGGACAGCAAGCAGGTGGCCATCGTTTCGGAGACCGCCTCCAAGGGCATCTCCCTGCACAGCGACAAGGCTGTGGCCAATCAGCGACAGCGCTTGCACATCGTCCTGGAGCTGTCCGGGAATTTGGATCAGGCTCTGCAACAATTGGGCCGCACCCATCGCTCCAATCAGCTCAACTCGCCGGAATATGTTTTGGTTATCGCGGACCTCATCGGCGAAAGACGCACTGCCAGCACAGTGGCCGAAAGACTGAAGAGTTTGGGTGCTGTGATCAGCGACAATCGCCGGTCCACCGATGACACAGACCTGGCTCAGATCGATTTAAAGAACGTGCATGGACCCAGCAGCCTCTACCATGTGATCCAACAGATGGCGGGCAAGCGACCCATCGATCCCTCGGAGCTACCTCGCACATACACAGGCAACTTTCGGGCCGATTGCGGCGCTGCCCTGGGCAATGTGGGCGTGCTCAATGTGGAGATAGGGCAGAACGGCGTCGAGATTTATAGCGTGGCCAAGAACGCCTCCAACATTGATAGATTCATACACAGAGTGCGTGGCTGTTGCGTGGAGATGCAGAGTGCCATATTCCAGTTCTTCATCGACAACATGTACAGGCGGATAGCGCAAATGAAGCGCTCGGGTTGCTTCAACATTGGCCTCCTCGACCTGAGGGCCCACAAAGTCAGCGTGAGGTGCAGCAAGCAGATAAAGTTCACAAAAATATTCACCAACGGCGCGGAAACCACACAGCTGCACACACTGCAGGTGGAACGTGGCATGCCCTTTGAGACGGCCCTGCGCATGTAAGTTTTTTCTTTGACTTTAGCTCTTTGGTCTAATATCCATATCGTAGCTATCGAAAGAGCGCACATAAACGCCACGAAGGCTTCTACGAATTAAAGGAGACGAGAGGGGACAAGCGTATGGCTATCTTATGCCTGGAAGCCAAGTCGAGCTGCCAGTATGCCACAGACCCCAAAAGCATTCACATGCAGATCTACCGACCCAATATCGGACTGCAAGTGAGCATCGAAAGCCTCGAGTCTGTTACCTCGCGCTATGTCATTGCCAAGTTGAACACGGCCCAAAGGTATTGGCAGAAACAGTATGAGCTGTGCCTGAACACCTGCGCCCACATCTATTGGAATCGCACGTGCCCCTTTCCCCACGACTGCATGGAAGGCAAGCGGCTACGCACCTATCATGTGCTCTCGGGTCGCGTGCTGCCCTATTGGAGCCGCATCACGCAAAGCATCGAAAAGAACGGCAACAGGATCCAGATGATTAGTGCAGAGACAGCTGGGGGTCAGTGTATTGTGGGTATTGTGGTGCCGAATTCGGCCTACAATGAAGTGCACAGCGATTTGTCGTCAGATGTTACTAAAGTTGAAGTAATTGAAGCGATGGCAGAGTGATTCAAGTCTGTAAATTAAAACTAAAATTATAATTATTAAAATAAATAAACTTGGACGGGAGATTTTAGTCTACATTATTTAGCAAATAGAACAAAAATGTAACCATTATAAATTATTATTTATATGCCATATACTCCCCTAGTACGCATACTTTTTGCTGCTCTCCGTGCACAATTGACCGCAGCTCGACCAAAATGTACAAACTTACGCTGTAGTCAGGCCACCACAACGAATATTCTTGACAGAACTCGCCCACCCGACGCTGATGGAAACCACATTTGGCGAGCAGAGCCAGAGCAGGAGAGAGGCCATGGAAAAGGAGTTAACTCTGGTCTCGGTCTGGTTTCGGTCTTGGTTTTTGGTCTGTTTCGAGAACTCTTCATATGCAAGGCGCTGGGACGCAGCCCGAATAAGTTTTTGCCCATTATTTTCTTAGTGCATAATTAGAATAATATTTGATTAAAAACATTTTATTTCAATTACAACCAAATGGCAGAGCACTGAGAAGCAGTGAGAAGCAAAACTAAACACGCAGTGTACATTTGCCCAGGGCTCATTGTCCAACCGGAGCAGAACCCAGAACCCAGAAGCAGCTGCTCGGATTCGCTGAAGCTGAAGAGGGGGAAATGGAGCAGAGCCCCCAACCAGAAGCTGTTTAAAAATTAAAGAAGAAGAAGACACACTGGAAAAACAATAAGAGAAGAACGACAATTAGCGTGGCTGAACAAAGTTAAGCATTTGATGAAGCGCAGACAAGCATGAAATGATGAAATAATATCACAAATACTCCAGAGAGAAAGAGAGTGAAATAACAAAAAAAAAAAAAGGCTAAATTAAATGAGCGAACTCATCAGGCGCTCTCTTCTACCTGCTTGGAGGGGAGTGGAGTACTTGCTAAATTGCCCCAATCATTTACCACAATTTCACAAAAGGGATCTTGAGCGGATGGAGCGATAAAAGTTTCAAGCACACTCCAATGCGAATATAATTGTCTGTGTTAATTGAAAAAGTTGCTGCTGCTGCTACTACTGCTGCAGCTGCTGTTTCACCATCTTAATTTGCATTAGTTTTTTGAAGTTGAGCTGTGATTGGATTGAACCAAATGTCCTGCTCGGCTAACACAACACATAAACTCACACAGTAGACATGTGAGACAGCTTTTGTAAATTGAAACACATTTGCCAGAGTCCCCTTGAAGCATATCTAATCCTTGTGGCTGCCCTTCAAAACTAACCTCGATTGACAGGACAGGACAGCACACATACATGTATGTATGCAGTACTGGCCTTTGTGTGTGTGTGTTTGCCCATTGTTGTGTTGATTATTGGTTTTGGGCGTATTAGTAACCATTATGCATGTCCATAATATGCAATTAATTAATGTTCGATGCAAATTACAATCTGCAGCAGAGTCGTAGCCAAGGCAATGGGGCCAGCAGATCCCCATCAGCATCTACATCAATCAGCTAGAGGATGAACGCCAACGAGCTGCCAAATAGCAAAATCTTTTGGGCTTAAGCAGCTGTTCGATTCAGTTTCAGAGTTCTGCATAAATTGTAATTAAATTAGAAGGCGAAATTGAATCGATTTGATGCCAGCAGCAGAGGAGACACTCGTATAGTCCTCTTGCTCATTGATTTACAAAATCATTTTTCCAGGGGGTTGGGCTACCAAAATGAAATTAATCTATGCATATTGCAGTTGGAATATGCAAAAGGCTCTAAGCTGATTTCGACCCCAGCCCATCCATATGCACATCCACGGGCCACCAAATCGATTTGCTGCTCGACTGGCCCCGGACAAAATCTTCATCTTCGTCTTCAGCTTCAGCTTCAATTGGAATTTGTACATTTGTTAAGGTAACAATTATGAAATTCTTAATTAATTGAAACAAAACTTGCTTATCCCCAAAAGTGTAGCTACAATTGTGAACTAATTAGTGCTTAGCTCTTAGCTCTCAGCTCTCAGCTCTCAGTTCTCTCTCAGTTTTCAGCTCTTTGCTTTGTCTTTATCATTTTGCAATTCATTAAATTAACTGCTGTCGAAAAGGCTTCATAGTATAATGGCCAGAACACACACAAAAGTTTTTACTTTTAAATGGAATGCAGCCAAGTGCATTAGAAGCCTCTCGTCTCGTTCCTACTTAAGGCCACAAGCTATTCATAAACTTTGCCTTCAAATCGAATTATAAATCTTGGCCAGAGCAGAACAGAAAAGAAAACAAAAAAAAACCAAAACAAAAGCAAAAAAGATAGGGAGATAGAGATTGAGATAGAGAGAGAGAAAAACCGTTGAGGCCAGCGCAACTATTTTGGCCAAAAGTGAACAAAAGTTGATGGCCAAGTTAACTTTGCTCTCAGATTTAAGTCGAATATAATGTAAAATAATTTTGTAAAGTTTTTTCGTTACTTCTTTGCTTTTGTTTCGTGTGCTGGAAACAATACGCCGCACATAATTTGATGCATGCCACACACACACACACAGCAAGCCTTGGGGCAGAACAAGACACAAGAAGCAGCAGCCGCACACATATTGTATGAGGCAGCTGCATATGCATGTGCAACGTGTGCGTGTCCTGGCTAGATAAGCAACAAGCCCTCAGCCCTGGCTCTCTCCAGCCATCCTTATTATTAAGTATGCTTTTAGTTAATTTCGCTGGATTTCAGCTCAAGTACAAAAGAAATGTCGGCAAAAGAACAAAAACAAGACAACAAAAAAACGGGAAAAGAAATGCGTGCTGGAACGGTGAAACTCTAGATACCCTTACACATTCATTGTTCTTTTAATTTAATTCTAATTTATTATTTTGTTTTCGATATCTTCAGAAAGAAAGAAGGTAAACAGAGCTCTACCAATTCTACAATCAAATATAACATGCTGCTCCGTTTCTGCCGACTCCGAATAATGACTTACCTTTACAAGATTGCCTTTTCTTTTGTGTACTGCTGTACACATTAATAGATGGCTTTACAACTAATTCAAACTATGATTTTAGCTACGGCACAAATTGCTGGAAGAGCTTGGAAATTCTGTCTATAATACCCTCTTCAAGGGCTGGAAAAATAAACAACAACAAATCGCGACCTCTCTCTCTCCCACACATCACGCATGCAAAACTTTAGCCAGCTCCTCCCCTGCCCCCGCACTGGCTTGTTTTAAGTTCGGCGTATAACTTTTTTGTAGCCGCCGCTCTTAGCCATACGCCGCTACCTTCTGCCGCCCGTGGAAACTCTTGTTTTGGGCAAACAACAAAATTATATAAACGACGTCGACTAGAATTGAACGCCTTCGGTTATTTACGTGAAGTTTAATGGAATTTTCAACAGTTTTTGCAACAGTGATTTGCCAACCGCAGAGACCCCGCCGACCTCAACGCAGATCTCTTCTCGCAGTGCGATGCGTTTCCTCTGTTTATTTTGCAGCGAGTTTTCCGCTTTTCTTCCATGGCATATACAGAAATGAAGTTTTAAAACTTTATTTGTGCGGCCGCCAGTTTTGTAATTGACATATGCAATTTGTTTGGCAGTTCTGGGGAATGCAATGCCGCCGATGCCACCCAACCTTGTCTGTCTGTCAGTTATATCAGGGAGGAGCAGCTACATATTTCAGAGCATACTTTCTAGCGCCTTCAATTGGCACTCTGCTGCCAATTGGTATTCATGGAGAAAAGGCAGTGACCCTATATATGGCAAAATGGCATTTCCTATTGAGTGACTAAAACTCTAAGAACAGAATGATATGCATTATATATGGCAGATCAAAAATTATTTCTCGATATTCCCCATCTCTGCAGCTAGCCATAAAATTGTGAATATAATCCATTGAATCGTAAAGAAGGCATTCAAATATTATTCACAAGTCGTATGTACTTATTCTCTCTATGAAACTCTATATTTTCATAGCTATCAAGCAGCAATATTTTTACAGGCTATCAAAAAATTTATTTAATTTTAAGATGTGAGAAGATAAACAGCCTTAAGCAGCCTTTTTCTGTTATTCCTGCCACTTAGTGTTTTTGCTTCAGTCAGTTGCTTTAACGGGTATCTCAAGGTTGACACCCAGAACTCAGCTTAAACATTCATAGCTTTTTTCATAACATGAAATGAATTAAAATGTCAAAAGGGAAATAATTTTTGTCAGCTCTTGAAAGGCGAACTCAAAGACTGAGCACAAATGCATGTCCCATTTTTGTGTATTTTAATGAACAGAATTAGCATAAAATGCGAATGACAGGTACTCTGCATCATCCTCATCCTTGGTGCTCACCCATTTCCATTTTTGCTCCATTTAATTTGTCAAAAATAATGACAAGGTTTCAGCAGGCACTTTTGGGATTTAAAAACAGAAAACAGAAAAAAAAACAAAAAAGGGGACAGCAAGAACTACCAATTTACTTTGAAGTTTCAGATGCTGTATCTTTTTAGCCCCTACTAGGCCATACATACATACATATATTATTTATATAATACCGTTTTTGGGGCATTTTTAATTTGAACTGATGGGACCGAAAGAGAGCGAGAGATAACTTAAAAGTCATGATGGGTATTAAGCGTCCGTCCAACCCTTCCCATATGAGAGCCGGCAGCCAAATATGTTTGCAGTCGGTTGGGTCGACAAACCCTTATCAAAATATTTATATGACTTCGCATATGTTAAACGCAGAAATTGTTTGAAAAGAGCACCCAAAAGCCATCAGGCTGACCACTCCACCACCGAAGTAACCGAACCAACCGAACCACCCCAACCACCGCTCTCGCACTCGTACTTGTATGTATGAAAAAATGCTTAATGGCCTGTAATCTGCTTAAAACTTGGACATGAGTTCAATTTGCCAAATGGCAGCCACAAACCGAACCAACGATGACTCGTCGGGGAGAACCGGGGGAACACACCGGATTGGGTAGGTGGACTTTAAGCTGAATGCCGGCTCCTTTTTCGGTATCTTTTTTTTATATATATAATTTATGATCTTTGTATGATGAAAAAAGCCTGGATTCTTATATAATTTTATTTTTAATTAATGCTCACACACACTCACACATCCATCTTGGTGAGGGATGTGCAGGAGGAGTACGAGGAGTTTTAAAAGAAACA